GATAACCACATTGCTTCTTTCCCTATTCAGAAGGGATGAAAAGGTTGTAAAGAAGAAGATGAGATACAATCATAATCACATAGAAAATAAAAAGCAAGCAGTATGGTATTCTTCATTAAGTAAAACTTTGCCATAATCAAGTAAGTATAATAAAAGAAAAACAAGGAATTAACTTAATATCGGAATAAACTCTATAAAACCATCTTAAATCTCTTATGATTCCCATTTCCATACAAAGGAGTGGCAACTCCAAGTAGGAGATACAGTAAGCAAAAGACAGGCACAAGCACAACCCTACAACATCCTCAAATTGCTTCAGGTAATGGTAATCTTATCTTTCGCTCTACCTCTTTCCTTGGTGACACCAAGAGATGCCAAGCCACACAGCAGCCCACTCCAGCTTTATTCAGGTTGGAATTAATATAAAACATTAAGCAAGACAGAAACACCAAAAATCAATTAAAACCAAACGGGTAGCGTGTATGTTATTGACTACTAATGTCATAGTGTCCATCCCATCAAAAGGCTCGCAACCTTTCTTTGACCCACACCATTAGCACATATCATGAGAAAACCTAGACAGGCTTCCGAATACAAGAGGCAAGCTATATTGAAGCAACAATCATCAACATCAAAGAGAACCGGGCAGAAAATAGCTACGGATATTTTATTCACTTTTTCCAGTACACCAACAAGTCAAGCAGACACAATCTCTCTAATATCATAAATTGCTTCACCGACGACCTCAAACTCTCGCACATAATCAAAAGACAAGAAGCATTACCTTGCAAATGCTGGCGGATGAAAACTATCAACAACAAGAGCGAAAACGGAAGAATCTGCTCAATCCACTTGGCGACCTGCTGAATATCATACCTCTGGTAGGTAGACGACGATGATGATGAAGAAGAAGAATCCCTGCCGCCACCAATCCCATCATCCAACGAAACCAACGGAACCCTCTCCTCCGCCATTCTCCGGCGAGCCTCGGACGACAGCATCGCGCTCCTCCCGATCACTTCCTCCTCGCAGCCTGCCTCCCGGCCCCGCGACGACGACGGCGAGCCGCTCTCCTGCTCGCCGGCCCCAATTATGCGTATCGCAACCTCCTCCGCGCCGCTGCAGGCATTCTCGTCGGAATCAGAGGCCGAAGCGGACGCAGAAGCCGAAGCCGAAGCCGAAGCCGAAGCCGATTCAGGCTGAGCCTGAAACCGAGGGCGCGTGCGGGGAATGATGATCACAGGCTCCGCGGAATCCTCGCGCGCGCAGTAATCCATGACGAGAGAGAGCGGAGAACGGAACGGGAAACTCATCCCGAACCACGTGACAGCGCCACCGCCGGTCTCGCTCCCGGAAGATGACGACGAGGAAGAAGAAGACGGCGACGATTCCATCGAAACCCTAACGAACGGCGTGTTCCTCTTTTTTTTTTTCCCGATTTCGGCGATCAGCGACGGTAATTGAGAGTCATTAGGTTTAGGTTTAGGATATTTAGAATTGCGAAGTTAGGTGAATGAAGAAAAGAGGTGCGGATGTACATGGTGAGAGGATGCGAGGGTTTAATTGTGCGATGCGATGGACATGGCGGAAGCAGAAGCGGAAGAAGAGAGGAGAAAAGTCAAGGTCAGGAAGCTCAAACAAACCCTGTCTTTCGAAATTTGTGACTGTGTGTGAAAGAGGACGCGAGGTTGACAATGATGATAGAAAAACGCGTTTGATTGGATTGGATATTTTTCTTCTTATACTTTTCTTCCTCCTTCTATTCCAACGGATCAATTCCATTCAATTGCCTTTGCCTTCTCATTACCTCTTTTTTTTCTTCTTCCTTCATTATTATTATTATTATTAATTGCCGTTGCTAATTTGTTTTCGTTAGATTAATGGTGATCATTCGAGTTTGAACGGGTTCTTTTTTGGTATTAAGTCAGATTGTTTGTGTAATAAATTCTCAACATCTGTTTAATTACGGTTACGGGTATGTATCTTAAGTCTTCAAGAAAACTTAATTACGTGTACTTTTTTTTTACAACCCTACATTTCTAGTTCTCATAATTTTCAAAGTCTTTTAAAGAGAAAAAATAGCACTGGTCTTTTAATAATTTTAAAAAATATAAAATAATTTATTAGATAAAATTGGGACTGAATGAAAATAAATTAGATAGATCTCGACGGTAAGTTAGTGTCTCAAGATGATCATCTCGTTTTTCTATCAATAGAAAATGCACTATCAAGTAGTCTTGTCTCTTATGATTCTCCTTAAGTATCTTTTGAATGTAAAAAATGTATATGCTTTCATCCACTCCATAGATCTTTTCATTTGTAGTACGGTTTGATGGTATGAAATTAACATGGCTTTGAATTCATCAAACAAGGTAAAATTAAAGACTAATAAACTCAAAGTCATATGATAAATAAAAAAAATTAATGGGCTAGAATTTAAGTAATTTGGGACTGAATAATTAAATAAATCTATTATCTTATTTTTTAATATAATTTTCATTTTATTTTAATTTATTAAATAAATTTGATGAGTTTCTTTTGTTAAGGGGAAATAAATACTAATGGGAATTAGTGAGAATTTATTGGTGAGTTAGTAGACTAGTGAAGAGTCAATTTTAGTGGATATTAAGTATTAGTGAGAATTTTTGTCATCTTGCCCATCTAAGCTTATAAATAGGAACCTTTTGTAAAAAATTTAGGATGAAAAAAGAAAATGAATTATTCATAATTTGGATATTTCTTCAATTGAGAGGATTTTCTCTCTCTAAGTTGTTAGGAACTACTTTTGATTCTTACCCTTGAATTTCTTAATTCAAAGTAGCGAATTTTTCTCAACTTATCAATCTTTAGGGATTGTGGCGTTGTTCTTCCATTTCTTCCCTCAATCCATTTTTTTTTTCTTTTTATTTCTTAATTATGAACTTTCCAACCTAGATATATCTGTAAAACGAATCCATCCCTCTGGGTTCATATCATTTTCCAACCTAGATATATCTATAAAACGAATTCATCCCTCTAGATTCATATCATTTTGTTAAAAGGTCTCATCTCTTGAAGTTCGATTCGCAATGCAATGCTCTTAGTGATATCATAGTAGGGTTTCAAACCCAACCTTGTTCTTGTGAAATTCCTTTTCCTTTTCATTCTCAAGTAAATAGTGCTAAAATTATTATTTTTAGTTCCTATTTTTATGTGGTTTTTTTGTTAAAAAAATATTTTTATAAATTTATAAATTTAAAACATAATTATTTTTCAATAATTTTTTCTCCTCCTAAAACTATTTTAGGAGATAAAAGCCGATTTTTTTTATTCAAACAAAATTAAATATTACAACCTTATTTTGCAAATTTATCAAATAAAAAATATATTTTAATAATAATTAATTATATTGTTTAATTTTCACAACTTTCTCTCACACGCCTAAGAAAAAAAAACTTAAATATAATAGATTATAATATTTAAAATTTAAAATATAGTCATTTTTTGAAATAATGAGATAAGAAAACTTATTTTAATTACAAATTCATTCAAATAACACAGTTAAAAATACATATATTATTATTTTCAGAGAATAATTTCAAAAAGTTACGTCACTTTTAATTTAGTTAATTAAAATATATTCATTAAAACTTAAAAAATGAATTAAAAAATGAATTAAAAAATATCAATATAAGAATTAAAAATACATTCGTTTACGAATATAAACCTTCTTTTATCCATATATGACCGGTTTAAATTTAAGGGAAAATTAACACAATAAATTAAAAAATGTGTTTGAAATTTTTTTTTTGACAATCAGTGTTTAAAATTTAAACAGCAAAAAAATGAAAAAATAAACAATTTATAATTTAAAATATTAAAATAGTATTTTGTTTACATGTGAGATAAAACAATAGTAATACCGCTTTAAACTTTATTTTATAACATATAGAGATAATTTTTTTTATCATTATTTAATTATTAAAATATTTATAATTTCTTTAATCAGTATTTCAGCTTTAAATTAATATTGAATGTAATAAAATATTAAAATTAAAAATAATTTTTGAATTATTAGTTAAATGTTAAAATGCACTTTATTTAATTTTTATTTTTTATTAATAATTGAATATTTTACGAGAATGTTTGCTATATTAATTGCCGACCTTGAAGTCACAGTGGCACCGACTCAGCAGTTGCACAAGCGTTTCGCCACTAATTGATGTCCAGTTGTATACGTTTGCCCCCCGCATACGCCAACTAAAATAAAAAAGAGGCGCGCAATCACCGCATGAACTAAAACAAAAAAGTAAAAACCAATAATAGTAAAGTTCGCATGAAATAAAACAAAATAAATCAGTAAAAAAACAAGCCATTATTTTCTGACAGCCACATATAGAATTTAGAAATGAACCCTATTTATATATTTAATTTTTGGTGTTTGTTTTTTTAAATTTCCCGGGAGAAAGTTACTTTGCGGCAGAGAGAGAATGTTTTTGAAGTTCACAAGTATATGACATGAATGGAATGGAACATCTTAGTATTAGACCAACCAACGTAACATACGTGTCTATATGACAGTACGCGAAAATTTAATCACAATCCACTCCCCTAACATGACAACTATCTCATATCTCCTTTTCAGTTTCAGCAACACCATTTACAAGATGCATATATATAAAATACCTGCACTTGGAGGATGGAAATTCCATTACCCTACCCCTTCCACTTGTCTTTCACCTTCCTTAACTCTCTTAATGCTTCAATTGGAGACTTGCACCCTATCTTCTCCTACAAATATCATTTTAACATTTCTCAGAGTTTAGAACAAAGAAATGAAAATATGTCATAGTATGTGCTATAATTACAATTTTGTACATTCAATTTTTTTTTCAAAATTTGCGTCTAAAATTGACAATTTAGACGTGACTTCCATTAATCAAGTATTATTCTAATACCGACGAAAATTAATTTTGGAAGTATCAAATCGACTCCAATGTCCAGGGTTGACCTTACCTCCTATTAATTTGTGCTCTCTTAAGCATACCCTTTAGTCAGAAAAAATGGGTAAGCGGGGGCAAACCTGAAGGGCAGGTAAATCAACCCTCATAAAAGGGTTGGTTTCCATCTCTTCCTCAATGGTAGAGGGAATTGTAGGTAGGCCAGCTTGCTTCTGATTCTGAGCCCATGTTAATTTCTGTTGTATCCTCGAATTATCTGGCTCAATAGTCAGAGCAAATTGCAAGTTCTTCTCTGCATACTGGAGACACACCATATTCAAACTCTTAAGCTTGATTAGTAATATGAAGTACAAGAAAGTATAGTAAATGAACAAGAATTCAAGCTTTTGTGGGTCAGAAGTTGATGGAGGACCATCCATGGAGCTTCATGTGAGACCCATCACTAAGCCAATGGCTAGGAGAGTGGAAGAGGATAGGGAAGTCAAAACCTTAGAAGACATGTTTCTCAAGATTAAAATACACTAATCACTCTCGTAAGCTTTGATAGCCTAGAATTTATCTTTATGCCTATTTTGCCCTTATCTTTGATTTTCCATTTTTACCCTTGTATTTTGGGGTATCTTAGACATATGATCTATTTTACTTGTATTTCCAATTTTATCCTTATATTTTGGGGTATTTTAGTCATAGGATTTATTTTCTTTTATATTTCTCATTTTACCCTTGTATTATGGGGTACTTTAGATCATAGGATTTTATTTTTGGGCTAAGGTATTTGATTAGGGTGGGAACAAAACCTAGACATATTTTTTGTGGCTCTTGGACCTATTTTTGGTGTTAGAAGGCTTAGGCTCAAGTGGAGGCAAAGGTTGCATGGTCTTATCATGCACCTAGATGTAGCCTAACTAATCCCAAAGATTCCATCATTGGCCACCAAATTGCATCTAAGGTTCATTTGCATTTCATTTGGTGTGCATTTGGCTTGTGAATTTCGTCCATGCACTCTCCAAATGCAACCCTAAATGCCTCTCATTCCTATAAATACCCTAGGCTATGCATCATATAAATACTTTGGAATATATGAATTTGAATGACCATTTTTTGCCTCAAATCCTCTCCTTAGTCACTAGGTCTACACGGCCTACCTCTCCTATGTCCTCCCTAGAATGAGTTTAGGGTTACTTTGAGTGGCCTTCATCTCTACTTGGTGAAGAGAGCCAACTAAACACCCAAAAAAACCATCCTCCCAACCTTTCTCCTATTTGCCCAAAACTCCACCTTTCACGCCTATCATCACTTAGCCTCACCCTTGAAGGAACGTCCACCCTCTAAGGTCACCATCTTGGCCTTGGAAAGGAGCTCCTCTTCACCATTGAACGTTTGATCATCCCCTTGGTGGAAGGAGTCTCAGAAGTGTCATAAGTCCACAAGCACAAAATAAAATAATGTAGAGAATATCCACTTTTCTCTCGTATGTTTTTAATGCCTCATGATATAAACTATTTGATCAAGTTTTTGAAACAGTATTTATGAATTACTTAACAGTATTAACTATAAAGAGTCTACAAGTATGGCCTAATGATTATGATTGTCAACAATAACTTTCACAACCAACCATTCCTAGGTTAGGTCACTATGCATCCTAAATATGTTCATAAGTGCTACATAAATTGAGCCAAGATGCTAAAGAATTCTGGGAAAGTGGATTTTAGTACCATATTACCTCATGGCCACAGTAAACTCGGGTTGATTTTGGTAATGAACCTAATGTTACACAGAGTGACTGATACATCTGTTCTGCAGTTCCTTCAAAAAATTTCCCACAACCAGCAATAAACTATACAAAAAAGAAATAACAAAATAAATCTAGGATTTAAACTTTAAAGTAGGAGTCCTACTTTAAACTGTAGGACCTCTACATAATTCATATACCCACAAGCATTCACACAGAAAGCGACTAAAAGGTAAGTCATATACACTGACTCCAAGCACTTGGTGTAGCTTTTTTAGAATCAATTTATTGTATTCTTTCCTAAGAACTCTTATCTTTTGGATGTGTTTCATGAGAACTCCATAAATGAAAAAGGTAAGACTGATCAGTCAACTTACCAGTGTGTCTCCAGTAAAAACAGCAGGTTGCTCATCCTCTTTTCCAGTAACATAATAGCTTATGTGACCTTTGGTGTGGCTGAGCAGGTCAGGAAAATGGTTTATGTTAACAAAAGATAGGGAAAGCATGAAATTTAGATTCAACCACATAAGGAATCATCAAGCTACTACATGTATTTGATAATAAGGAAAAAGATTCAAAGAAGCAGGGTGATGACTAATTGGTGGTTTATAACAAAATCAATGCATCTTTTGGTTTTCACACATAGACAGTGGTATAAAACTCTAACCCTGTGCTTGGAGTAATATGGCTATATAATTAAAATGATACTCCATGTGTCCCAAATCTTAGTCCTTCAAGATTAATGCATATGGATTTCTTTTGGTACATAAAACTTGAATGCTTATGGATTAAGAAATACTTAACAAATATAAATTTGGACTAAAAAAAAACCTCACTTAATATCCCACTATGTCGATGGAAAAATTTGCCTATTAAATAAGGTATAATTGAGAAAAAAAAGTCATTAATTAGACTATGAAATTCTAAAATGTCAATTATTTGAAAGAAAAAAAAGAAGCTAAAAGGACTAGAGATTTAGGATGGAGGGAGTTTGATTTAAAACGTATGAGAAGTGTGAAGATGTATTAATCATAAAACCTAAAAAGGATTTGTATGAGTTGGATCCTTAAATGAGTATCATTCCCTACAACTTTTATACAATAATTCAGTTATAAATCAGATTCCAAACTTGGGTAACAGAGACACAAAGGATGAGCCAACTTAGCAGTAGCATGACAAAATTCAAGTAGTGTGCTTAGCAGTTAGCAAGTTGATGACTTTTCTAAACCTCTTCCAGAGTTGCATTATCAAGGGTGGTAACTAAATATTAAATTCACACTTTCCAGTTTAATGTTTGGGGAAGGGGACCAATAACAATATGTAATTGACAAGTTTAATAGCTATACCACGGTGTGTGGAGAGACAATATATTAACATCAGCCCCAAGGGACACCTTATCCCCATTTTGAACCTTATCAGTGCAACCCTTGACGTTATCCACTGAACCACCATAAACCTTGATTCCAGGCACCAATTGCTTTATCTTTTCATTTCCACCAGCATGATCCCTTTCATTATGACACAAAGTTTACAAACGTGCATAACCAACCGAGATCTGATGCCTATATATAACCAAGTACAGTTGCATAAACTGTACAATGTACATCATATTTCTTTCTCAACAAACTTCAAAAAAAAAAAAAAGAATTTATAACTTAATAATTATGTAGCAGCTAATCCATGTGACAACTGTCAGGAAAATGCACCAAAGCACTGAGATTTCAAAGAAGGAATGAATAAATATCTGACTACTAGCATATTAAAATTACTAAGTTTCAAAGCAGAGATACTAGTATACAGGTTCTAGAATTTATATTATCAACCGCAATTGCGTGGGGTAATTCCACTGTGCCTTTGGCCAGCTAAACAAAGGTTATAGTTTCTTCATACAAAATTTTGTACAATCAACAGAAGCAGAGATAAATATGAAAAGACCAAGACAGTTTACATCCATTTTAGGATAAGTGTCCCTCTATAAGCATAGATAATACAAATTCAGATATTTGCTTCCAAAAGTAGCCATATTAACCGCAGTTCTAAGCTAGGCAAAGCTAAAAGCTAATTGTAAAAGTAATTAGAACTCCCAGTTAAAATATATATCGACCGAAATTGCAGCATAAATACGAAAGTTAACTCAAAAATACCCTAAACAAATAAACATGATTCAACATGACCAACCAAAATGAAACTATGGTACAGTGGATAAATCGAATATGCAAAAAAAGAAGAAAAAAAGTGCAAACTAGTAGCAGCACCCGTGACGATGTGAGGTGAGGACAAGCTTGAGATTGACTCCATGAGAATTGGCAGCTTCTAGAACCTTCTCAGGCTCTACAGGATCCACCACCGCACCTTCTCTGCTGCTCTCATCGACAATTCTGCAGCAGTGCAAAACCAAATTAAAGGATTGTTGCCTAATAGTATTATTAATAATAAACTGTGAAGCATCACAACAAAGGCCAGAACTAGAACCTGCAAGCTGTGTTGTAACTGTTTGCACGTGTGTTAATGTTAAATTTGTTTAGGATTGCATAGAATTATAACATAGACTTACAAGTATGAATAACTGTCTTGCAGACAAGGAACGTGATAGATTTTCATGGTTTAGGAGAAACGACAATCACTATCACTATACAACGTAGCTTCGGGTTCTTTCTAGTTTAGTTTGACTTTAATACGAAATACACGACGAATGGGAACGCAATTCATTGCTGCCTTGGTTTGGTCTTAGATTGCCACGTTCCACTCACCGTCTCCCGTGTCAAAGAATAAGCAAGTACGTAATGTTCTGGCTTAAGAACCAGAATAAATAAAAATAAAATAAAAATTTCAAAAAAAAATTAAAAAAAAAAAACTATTTTACCAAAATAAATTATTTTGGACACTTAGGAGCGAGAAAAGTGTGAAAGCGTCAAGCAATTTGACGTTTTTAGTACACTGTGCATGGGACGAAAATGTAAACACTGAAGGCGTCAGACTGGGTGACGTTTTGGTAATGTTCATATACAAAAAACGTCAACAGTATTGACGTTTTCTGTATAAAGTGAAAATAAAAAAATAAAATAGAAAAACTGATGGGCTGGGGCTTCGAAACACAACCAGAACGGTCCGTTCTGAAACAAGAACGGGCCGTTCCGATTCACTTTTCGTGTGTTTCATCTGGATCTGGAACGACCCGTTCCAGATGCAAATGCAACACAAAAGTAGTGAATCAGAACGGCCCGTTCTGGTTTTAGAACGGGCCGTTCCAGGTTTTTCTGCATTAAAAAATTATAATTTTTTTTTAACATAAATTGTGCTTTTGATTTTTTTATGATATTCAATTTATGATTTTTGTTTCTCAATTTTTAGTTATTCAATTTTAGTCTCTCAATTTCATTTTTATGAATAGGAATATTTAACGTGGCTACATACACAAGACAGGATTCGAATCCCTGACCTTGCTTAAGGTGGATCAACCCCTACCACTGAACCATACGCTTAAAGTTTAATTTTAATTTTATTAATAAATATTATCTATTAACTATTAAAATTATAACATTGATTATGAATTTATATATTAAGTAGATGATTAGATAATTAATATTTACTTCAATTATTATATCATTTATTAGTGAGATAAAAATTGTAAAGTTTATAGAATTAGAGTAAATTTATAAAATTATAAGTCAGGGAAACAAAATCGCAGATTAAATATTATAGGGATAAAAAATAAAATTTATCTTTGATTTTAATATTTAATTTAAGAAAAAAAGTTAAAAATGAAACGATAGTATAATATTTTTGATAACGTGACAATTAATGAGATGAATTTTTTTAATAACGTGGCATTTTTATGACAAAATACTAGACATGATAATAGGCAGAACAAAGGTAAATTTTGTTTTTAGTTCTCATCTTTGTCCTTGTAAAAGGCCAGCAAGTTCTGATTTGGATAAACTCATAAGAGAATGTTAGTACTTTTTTATAATTTTAATTTACTTTGAAAATTTTAAAAAATATATATTTTAAGTTATTAATTATATATAATTCAAATAATATATAAAATTAATAAATAATGAATAAATTTAAATAAAAAATTTAAGAATTAAATTATATTGGAACGGGACGTTCTGGTTTTATTTTTGTGTGTTGCATTTTCATTTAGAACGGGCCGTTCCAGATCCAGATACAACACGTGAAGAGTGAATTGGAACGGCCCGTTCTAGTTTCAGAACGGGCTGTTCTGGTTGTGTTTCGAAGCCCCAACCCGTCAGTTTTCCATTTAATTTTAATATTTTTTACTTTATACAGAAAACGTCAACTTAACGTTTTTTGTATATGAACAGTACCAAAACGTCACCCAGTCTTACGCTTTCATACTAAAAACGTCAAAGTGTTTGACGCTTTCACACTTTTCTCGCTCCTACGTGTCCAAAATAATTTATTTTGGTAAATAATTTTTTTTAATTTTTTTTATTTTTTTTTGAATTTTTTTTTGAATTTTTATTTATTCTGGTCAAAATGCCTAATGTTCTTGTAAAATAAAAGGAAAACCCTTTTTAATTGAGGGATACGGTATAATTGAAATTATCAATTTCATTCTAAATTTATTATTTTTAATAATTTATTTATATAATGTTTTCATATTTTTAAATTATTTTATATATTTTTTTATATTTTATCCTTTCATTTTTTTAAAATTATTTAATTGTTCTATTTATATTCTAAATCTTTTTAGTTTTCTTTGTAATAGTATTATTATTATATACTTAAAAAAATCATTTTTAATACTTTTTTAAGCATCTTTTTTTTTATCTTTTATCTTAAATTTTTTAAGCATATTGTTAGCTTTTTCTTTCTTTTAATATTTTTATAGGATTATTATAATTTTATAATTATAATCTCTATAATTTTTTTATACTTTTTATTATATAAATATAATATAAATTATTTAATTTGTAATTAAATTGGATTTTTTAAATTTTTTTATTGATTTACATTAAAAAAATGTATTAAAATCCCTCCATCTTTCATGGTACATTACCAACTCCCAAATAAAAAATGATTTTGGCTTATGAAAATATGATTCACATAAATTAAAATTAAGTTTTTGAAAAAATTAAAATGAAAATTTTATATATATTAATTATTATTAGTGTTTATTTTTTTTCTTCTCTTTTTTCTGCCTTAAAAAGTAGAAATTTATTCGAGCAAACATGTTATATTTTCAATTATTAATCGTTATATATGATAAAATTTGATAATAGTTATACTAAACGTGATTTTTAATTAGTCAACAATATAATATTTTATTTTTAATCTTAGTATTTAATATATTTTTAATATAAATTTAATTTATGTATTATTTTTTAATGAAAATTTAAAATAGTAATTAAAAATGTTATTTTACAAATTAAAAATATATTTAGGCTTAAATTTTTTGTAAAGAATAAAAATATAAATTAAAATAATCGTATTACATCAAATAATTCAAGTAATAAAATTTAATATCATTTTTTTTGTGCATATAAAAAATATATGTTTGACCATACATAAACTTTTTTTGTTTGGATTGGGCCAAAACAGAAGCCGCCGGCCCATAAACGAAGACCAAAATTAACTTATGTAGAATCCTTGCCAGGGTTATTACAATTAGGTCTTTCCCCTTTTCCGTGCAGAGCCTGAAATCCACCGCGTTGCGGAGAGAAACGTCGCAATGGGGAGGAGTAAGCATCTATATTCCTTCTTATCTATTCCCCCTTCCTCGTTCGGTTTTTCACTGTTTTTATCTGAAACGATTATGATGCCTTTTTAGTTGCGTAAGCGTTTTGGATTTTTCGAGTTCCTTTTCTCATGTTTCTGGATCTGAGGATTCATTCGATTAGAAGGATAGCTAGATTGATATATGCCTTGAATAACGATATACTGCATCTTTGTTTACGAACCGAGAATAATTTTAGCCGCTTTACATGTTTTGTTTAAAGCTGGAAGCTCCCTTATTATGGTAGCTCTGTTCACTGAGGAGTTGCTTGTATTTGGTTTAACTTTAAAAGAATGGTTAATAATTGGTTTGGCATGATTGTTTTAGTTGTTTAAAAATTGGCAGGTTGTGTCTTGAATGCATAGTCATATGACATATATTGTGTATGTCTAATCAAATCTATTCAAGTAGACTGATCGTTTTCTAAGATTTTAAACTTGCGTTTGTTGACTTCTAAATCGATTGACCGGAGCTGTATCCTTAGATTTTGTGTTCATGGTCATCCTTGCATGGTAACCGTGTTTGAATAAAACCCACTATCAAGTCTTGCACATAGGACTTAGTCTTGCGAAGGCATATTGTTTATCAATCCTTGTATGAATTATATGTTTTGTTCAATGTTCTTTGCATTGAGAGCTTTATAGTATTGATGTCAGTAATCAGTTAGGAGCTCTTTTTTAAATGTTTTTCCCATTGCGACTACAGTCCTATTTATCTTTGTTGAACCGGAAAATGTGTTTGTTTACTGTATTATTGAAAATGTGTTAGAATGAAATTGTTTGAGTTTTTATGTGCCATATTCATGGCATGTTGTTAATGATGAGTGGTGTATGATTTAGGACCTGCAAGGTGTTATCGGCAGATAAAGAACAAGCCATATCCCAAATCACGTTTCTGCCGTGGTGTTCCTGATCCTAAGATCAGAATTTATGATGTTGGTATGAAGAAGAAAGGTGTTGATGAGTTTCCTTTCTGTGTTCATCTGGTTAGCTGGGAAAAGGAAAATGTTTCGAGTGAAGCATTGGAAGCTGCTAGAATTGCATGCAACAAGTATATGGCGAAATTTGCTGGAAAGGATGCTTTCCACTTGAGAGTCAGAGTACATCCATTCCATGTTCTTAGGATCAACAAAATGCTTTCGTGTGCTGGAGCTGATAGGCTTCAGACCGGAATGAGAGGTGCATTTGGAAAGCCACAGGGTACATGTGCTAGAGTGGCCATTGGTCAGGTCCTTCTTTCTGTCCGCTGTAAGGACAGCAACAGTCATCATGCACAGGAGGCCCTTCGACGTGCTAAGTTTAAGTTCCCTGGTCGTCAAAAGATCATAGTTAGCAGGAAATGGTATGTATTAAATATTAATATTAATTCTTTGACAGTAAGCTTATACAATGATCATGAACATGAATACTTTTAGATCAGTTGAGGCAGTTTTTGACTTGAGTAGTGTTTTTTCCATAATACCTTGATTTGAATTATGAACAATGTATTTTATATTTTCTGAAAAAGAAAAGCCTTATATCTTTTATCCTTTGACATCATGTGATTAATTGGGTTGGGATTACTACCTGTTTTGTCAAGGATTTGATTTCTTTATTTTGGTCCTTTATCATACGATTCATACCCTGTATTTTTTATGCATTTGGTTTGACTATTGTTTTAAAATGCTTGTTCAGGGGTTTCACCAAGTTTAGCCGTGCTGATTATCTCAAGTTCAAGTCAGAGGGCAGGGTTGTGCCTGATGGTGTTAATGCAAAGGTAATGTAAAGCTGCACCTGCGTGCGGATGCACTTATGGATCATATTGAAATTTAATTTCATAGTGTTTTTCATTCATGAGGACATTTAATCATTTATTTATATTTAAAATTGGATCTGATTTTTTTGATCATATTATGCATTCATTTAAGAAGTTATTTTTAGCTTATCTAATTTACAAGTTCTTTCTTGCGGTCTTGCAGCTTCTTGGGTGTCATGGACCACTGGCAAACCGTCATCCTGGACAAGCTTTTTTGACTACTGCTTAGGTCGTTTGTTGTCACTTGGGAATAGTGGGCTTTTACCACAGTAGTTGTGCTCTAGTCAATTTAAGTTTCCCATTTGTTCTGCTTGTAGTATGAAGACTATGTTGAGTTTATCTCCTGTTTTACGAACCATGTTTGAGTGGAATGAATGCCATATTTTGTTCGGATTTCCTTGCCGTTGATTTTTTTTGGCGTTCGATATTTGCTTAATGAAAAAGTTAAGATTGATCAGACAGCTTTCCATTCTATCTCCTGTGAAAACATCTGGTTGCTCCTCCTCTTTTGCTAGTAAAAATAATAGCGACCGGTTCAGAAAAAAATTTAAGAGAGGAAAGAGAGTGAAATTTGGGTTCAACCACGTCGGGATTCATCTAGCAATGATATGTATTTTGTAATAAGGATAATTGTGCATGATAAATGGATAAGAGTTAATCATCCATAAACTCTCAGTGTAGTGTAGAATTTTTTTACATTAGAACTAATCATATCTTTTAAATTATAATTATAAGAGAATCTATTGGTTTTGACAGTCATGCAATGAAGCTTTAATTTTGTTCGAAGTAATATAATATAGTTTTAGGATGGAAACCCCATGATTTATATATCCTACTCCAATCAGAAGTGCAAAGATGTACAAATCAGAAATATACAACGCAATGATTTATAGATGAGTTGGGTTCCTAAATAAATATAATCCCCGCAACCTCCATACAAGAATTCGTTTATAAATGAAGTAAATTCTTCCATTTTATTTTAAGATTCAAAGTGCAAATGTAGGTAACCGAGGGATAAGAGCAATAAGCCTGAAAACTAGGAAGTCGCACACAATTTTCTGCAATCAAATAGTATGTTTTAACAGTTCGTAGGGCGGTTGGAATTTCTAGTAAGAATTTCATCAACTTATAACCAATTGGAGCGCAACTACGAGCATAATAAGAATAAAATCTTACGTTTTATTTTGTAATAAGAAAAGAATAGTGATCTGCCTGAGCCAACTTCTCTACAAATAGCCCACCCTTGGCTCAAGTCTAAACTCCTGATTTATGTTCCTGAATGGTGGCTTTATATTTAATAATTATTTTAAAAATAAATCTGAGATGAAAGTATAAAAGTGTAATTAGTTGACAGTAAAAAAAATGTTAAAATTAAATGCAAGGGTAGTATCTCTTACATACAAACTGTCCACATGAATTAGTCCTTAGGATGTTTTAATTTGGTAGGCGATGGCAGCCTGTTGACATCCCTGGGTTCCCCTGCACGTCTCCTTCCACCTCCATTCATGTCTCATGACCATTGAAACTACCATCAGCTCGTAACAGGTCGGGTCGCTCAGTCAGATAGGAAAAAGGTTTGACCTTAGATAAATTGGTGTTGTGAATTGCACAGCACAGCACTGCGTTTACATTTGATTTGAAAAGCAGAAATGCAAATGTCAAGGGCTTCTTCTTCACAAAGAATCTCCCAATTCCAAATTCTACTCCGCGGCCTTAATCATCGCCGCCCCGCGCTCGCCGGTTCTCCTTCACTTAAACCCTCAATCTCAAATGCCGCCGCCGCGTTCCGCTCCTCCTCGCTGGCGCCGATGTTCCCCTCGCAGCGCCTTGGCTTCCGATTCTTCTCCTCGAAATTCGACAAAGGTTTTGCGCAGAAGGTGTTGGATAAACCTGCAGCTGCAGTGACATCTGCTTTCTCGCGTTACCGCGAGGCAATTGGGTTGCAAATCGAGGCATTCTTCAAGAGGAACCATCTCTTTCTGTTTGGCGCTGCTGGAGTCGTCTTTTGCGCTATTCTGTGGAGGATCCTCTTCGGAGTCGCTAACCTCTTCGTTTCACTCTCCGAAGGCATGGCCAAGTATGGCTTCCTCGCCCTTTCATCTGCTATCGTTGCTTTTACTGTAAGTTCTTTCATCTCACCCTATTCCAATTATTATTATTCAATAGGATCAACTTAGCGGTGAGGGTTGGAGTAGTATGCTGAGGGTATCAGGTTCTAATCCTGTTACTGTCATGTAACTTATACTGATAAAAAAGAAAAAGAAAAGAGTACGCATAACAAATTAATCTGCATTGTCATAATCTATTGCTAATTTGAGATTGGGAGTAATGAGTGAATGAATGGTGCATGCGGTGGAACAATTGTCTGATTATTTTGTTGTGTTGCTTGTTTAAGGGCTTGTATATTCGCTCGAGGTTAACAATCAACCCTGATAAAGTTTATAGAATGGCTATGACGAGGCTTAACACCTCTGCTGGGATTCTTGAAGTTATGGGTGCCCCCCTTTCTGGAACTGACTTGAGAGCCTATGTCATGTCAGGAGGTGGCCTCACCATCAAGAAATTCAAGCCAAGTATTAGGGGCCGTCGATGTTTTCTCATTTTCCCCATTAGAGGCTCTGAGCAAAAGGGGCTAGTCAGTGTCGAAGTCAAGAAAAAGAAGGGTCAGGTAAATTCATACACCTATCTTTATATGGTAAAATGTTAGTAACTTACTCTGTAGAATTTGTTAGTCTTACTGTGACGTTTGTTGTATCTGTTATCTGTCTCAACATCATGTTTTCGCTTCAAATACTGCTAATATTGTTGTTGAGTTAGGTACATTTTGTTGTTCCATGTCTTGAGAATAGGTAGTTACATCCGAGCCTGGTTTGTTGGAAAAATTCATATCTGGTGAGTGGTATTTCCGCCTTCATCTGTGTGGTATGATATATCTTTTCAAAATTATGTCCTCTGAAAACAACCACGTCAGATTTGTCCAGTCTATGAATGCCTGCAATGAACTTCCCAACCCAAGATCTATAAAGCAACCAAATATACAAATATAAATTATCTATCTTCGAGCATGTATTGTACAGGGAAACTCAACTGCAAACATTTTTGATAGAGGCATTTGACTTTTATTTTACATATTGTAAATCATTAGACTGATATGGTTGTGAGGGGTTCTTTTGCATATGTCCACACTGGAAGATATGTATGTATATTTGAGTGATTTATTTGGCAAAACATGGCTTGATGTGGATAAGTATGATTCTGCATTTGATGATAATAATAGTATATGATATAGTGTACGTTGCATTGGTCAATCTATGTTACTTTTGGGCAAATTTGGTAGGAGCATAATGCCCATGTTTGAAGGAGGTTTTCTTTAGCACTGCAGCTGATTAGAGTTTTATTAGGCATTTAGCTTATATTTAGTGTAAAACATATGGTTTTGTTTAAAAGCATTTACCTAACAGATAAGTTGAGGGATTGGGATGCTTTGCTCTATTGATACTTGTGTGTGTGTACAACAACCAAGCCTCTTCGCACGAAGTGGTGTCTGTCAGCTACATACTTTGTTGTTTTTGCTTAGCGTTTAGCTAAGGAAGATTCCATATGCTATAAATTCATAGTTATTTAGTTCTTTGTCTTTATAAATTTCTTTTATATCCCAAAATAAAATAGCGTAGTAGTAGGATGTTTGATACCTGGCAATAAGCCCCGCCCCCACGTAACCTTTGGATAGCAGAAGAGTTGACTGTGCAAAGATGTTCATGCTACGGGTATTGGTTCTCTTATACTTCAAATAGGGTGGATTCATGAAGAAAGGAATGAATTTGTTATTAATAAGAAAAGAAAACATGCTTTAAACCCGAATCTTGCATTACTGGCAGGAAGATTGAGAGAAGAGGGGAATCTGGTGTTGTCAGATCACTGGGAACGGAGAAGTAATACACTGACATGGTTAGATATCCCTTCAAATTGTCAAATATCGCGGTGTAGACCATTTTGGGTTGTAAATATGACTTGCTTGCTTCTAATTTTTGGGTAGGCATATATCAGATAACCTAAACTTTTGAGGGTATACTGAAGAAGGAAACACTGACTAGATTTCTATTTTGAAATTATTTTCAGAATGGTTCAAAACTCAAGCAATTAATGATTTGTTATTTCTATGGATTGGTTTAGTGTTTTGAAATATATCTTACTTCTACCAGAAAAAGTACTGATGCCAACGTTTATGTTAATCCTACCCAAAAAAAATTACTTTCAGATAAGTTCAGTCTTTTGCATGTTATGATTGTAACATGGTATGAAATTAAATTCAACATCCACTTTTTTGTGGATAGGAAATCCTATTTTTAGTTGAATGATTGGAATTGATAAAAAGTGTTTAAATCTAAACTTAAATTGTTGCTGAATTGAAAGTCCAGTCTAATTCTTAAATTCTTTGAAGCTAAATACATGCTCTAAATATTCCCTAGAAATTTTAGTTATATGTGCAAATAACATGGGTTTGTCTCCAGCAATATCCCCCAAGTTACTTTAGAACAGATTTAGGTACTTGATACGATTTCTGATCTTCAGTATATCTTCTTAATTTCTCTTTTCATTTCTGAAGTAGGACATTGTGCTTGGTCTAAGAAATTGGTGCCACGAATTATTCTCAAGAGAAAAATAAATGTAAGGAGTTAATTGATGTTTCTGGGTTTGCTTACTTAGCGTTTACCGTTATGTTCATATGCAGTATGATATGAAGCTGCTGGCCGTTGATGTTCCTATGGCTACTGGTCCAGACCAGCGGTTGTATTTAATTGGGGATGAAGAAGAGTACAGGGTTGGTGGGGGACTAATATCTGTGCTAAGAGATCCTGTAGTGAAAGCAATGGCAGCAACCAAGGAATTTGATGATCTTGATGAGGTTGAGGAAGAGGAGGATGCTGAAAAAGAACGTCTGGAATCTGAAAGAAAGCAGCGTGAAGAAATTGAAAAGCTCGAAAAGAGTGGCACCTAGTAATAGGCTTTCGTGATGTTCCTCTTCTGATTTATTCTCTTGTTGATTACAGCACAGGAGTTGACGTTGTTTAAACACATTTGTTTTGTATCAGTTCGAGTTTTCCCTTGAGCTAGAACTTCACCTTGTATCAGAAATGACCAAGTTTATCTGAACCAAAGTTGAGAAAATAAAGCTGACAGACAGGATCAACATGCATTGGAATGGACTGAGCGTTTGTTGGTTGCGATGTTGCCTTGTCTCTAAGTGTCTAATCCTTGTCTACGATATAGATACTATCTGCCACGGTTGGATGTCATTGCAGGGACCCAAAGTTTTTGACCACCTGTCCCCTTCCCCTTGAAAGTTGTTTCTAGTATTCTACGTGTGCTTGGTTGGTGCGTCATTACAAGTTACTGCTAGTGTTGAAATTCTAAAGTAAAACTCATTCGGTTACCCTGACCTTCCCCTTGAAAGTTGATTCTAGTATTGCTCTGACCAGTTCGGTTGCAGCGTTAAAAATTTAGCTTGCATTAAAGTCATTGATGACCTGTGTAGCTCATTCGCCTTAAAAATGTAGCAATTGTGTTTGAATGAGTGGGGAAAATTTATTTTGAATTGAAGTGATTTATTTTTTAATGTTTTTATTATAGTAGTAAAGTTTAGTAATTTTTTTATCTAATGTAAAAAAAATTCAATATGAAGTATCTAATTTTTGTTTAACTCCATTAATTTTATACTTGAAATTAATTTCTTAATGTGAAATTAAATATGTAAAAATTTACCTTAAATCAAGTAAAGAAGAAAAATAATAACCCGAAAAGTAAAGAAGAAAAAGTCAAAAAGTCAATTTTTCAAGATTGTCTTTTAAGTTTTCCTTTCATTTTAGTTTTTAAATTTTTTCTTTTTTCTTTTATTTTCTTTTATTGTTCGTGAGCCTTGTAGAATCTTTCACAGATATTTAATTTAGCTTAGAGAAAGTAATTATCTTTTCTTCTTTTTAGTCATCTGTATTGATATTAAGTTTATATTTTTGTCCTTATTTATTTTTAATTTAGTTTTTATATAAATGAAGTTTTCAATGTAATACTTCTATTACGATTAATTTCACTATTATCTTTTCCTTTTTACTGTTATCATATAACATTTTGAGTTTTATATATATAAAAAAAATATGTATAAGGATTTCCAGGTAATTTTTGGTTACCATATCATTAATGGGAAATATTTATAATTTTGTTCAAAAAATTTGACTAGTTACTTTTACGAAGGTTTGTCTTTCTAACATTTTTTTCCATCCACACCAAATTCGAATGCCAAAGAAAATTCTTTCGATCTTTATTTATGACACTTATTCTTCTTCTTTTTTTCATACACTATACAATATTACAATTTCAGCAAATGATATTATAACGGCAGTAAATGACGAGAATTAAATATGATAAATGTACAGATAAAGAATAAATTATAAAACCTTTTTTTTTAAGATCAAGTCAAAATGAATAGTAAATATTAGGATTTATTTTTGTGTAAACTCTTGGAAATTAATTCATTCAAATTACCCAAAAAAAAATTTAATTCTTTCAAAGTGTATAAGTTACCAAAATTAGTATTAAGCTTAAATATGTTTTTCTTAAATTTGGAATAAATTTAATTTTAGTCTTTCAAATTTAAAACTATTAGTTTTAATCCCTATATTTTTTTAAATTTTATTTTAATCCCTCAGGTCACTAATAATATATCTAAAATTGACATATTAAGACAATTATACAGTCAGATTTAATGTGATGTTTTACTAACAGAAACACCAATAGATAAATTTTATACAATAATATTTAATATATTTTCTAACAAAATTTGGATATATGAACTACAACAAAAAGTTTTAATATTATAAAGACTAAGAAGACTAATTTTAAATTTAAAAATTAAAAATAAATTCATCTTAAATTTAAAGAAAAAAATATATTTAAATATAAGGATTATTTCTCTTTATAAAGTTGCTTCCGTGTACATAACTAAAAACTAAACTGTAACAAGATATTCAAGAGATGCAACTATCTATCAACAACACAGAATGAGAATGAAAAGAACTACAAAAGCTTTACAAGCACATGTGCATTGAATGACAGTTTTGTTAGGAATTGAAGAATTAAGAGGGCCTAGCCTTCCAGTGCATGACTACTCAATACTTCGTACACTTACATCATTACTATGTCTGGAATAGAAGTGAAAAATGAAGTAAAGTTGCTTTTCATATTAATGAGGGACTTATCTGAGTTGTCTCATAGCTATATGCTAAAGTGACTTCATAGTTCATACCCTAAACTACATCTCCCCGGCCTCATTTCCCTTCTTGAACTTCCGCTTTAAAAAGAAAAATGCTGTATCTTCCAAATCAAAGACTCCGAAAGATCCTCCAAACATGAAGAATTTCAAAAGTTAAATATACTTAACTATTTTATTATATATTTTTAATCTTTCGAAGGAAGTTTCGAGATGAAGTTTACATTACTCTTTTAAAAATTATTGCTCTTTAGATGTAGTACATATGACACTGTTATGGGTCAAGTATTATTAAGCCTTAGCATGTGAATGCTCAACAGATAATCAGGAATTGATTGGATAACCCTAATATTTCTACGGACAAGTGTTGAGTTAATTTTCTCACTTGTACAACACAGGACAGGTGTCTCATTATGAGAAACTTTTTGAGATGTCATCTTTTCAATAGAATAAGCTAAGAGGAAAATAACTTCCCAAAAACAAATCATCACTAATGTCATACATAGTAGTACAATGTGAATTTTCTACTTTATTTTCAAATTCCTTGCTATCTTAATTAGGACAAAACTTGGGTATCATAATAACTACTAATGTTATTCTTTAACCAGAGTTTAAATTTCATCTCAATATGTATTTATATTTAATATAATTTTCAGTATTATATACTTGTAAATTACTGAAACGAAACTGCAACTATAAAAAAATAAGTACCAATAGTATTTATGTTACTTTACTTAAGTTTTTTTCACTTAATTACCCCATTATTCAAATTCCAATAGAGAATGTGTCAACGATATGGTTCATGTTGACATGATGAGTTATGAGTGACAGCGCACCTATAGCTAAAATAATATTAACATTAGTGTGGAAGGGATTTGAAATGGTTCTGTAACAGCCAACTACCTTCTTCGTGCTTTTATGGGTAACTCATTACATGGTTGGCCCCATTATGGTCTAGTCCCCCTCACAAACATAGCCAATATGTGCCAATTTTAAATGTTTAGTTTCTGTTCAACACCTTTATCCTATTCCTAGTTCATGAATGGTCGTCGTTTTCTCACTTCTCTGTGGTCAAACCACTTTGGAAGATGACAATAAGTAATCATCAAAATCTTTGTAATCAATGGACTGTAATGGATTTTGATAACTAGTTAACAAAGGCTGGTTTCTAGCTTACCTCATTCCCTCATTAATTCCTGATCATGGCCTATACGATAATAAGTTAGTGTGCAATACTAAAGTGCCCACCATGCTGCCCTATTGCTTTTAATTAATTAATCATCATGGGGACCATTATGATGGAATTTGATGTTGGATAAGAATTCAAAACATGCAATTATGTCAATCATTTTCCACTTTTTGAACATGTAATTACTCCTTCACCAAAGATTTCAAACTCCATCACAACCATTTGGGGCAGTCATTCGTGCTAGTTTTGACAGAGTATTGGCTCATACTCATACCCTTGCTAAAAAATATTGTCCCCTATATGTGAGGGATTTGGAGTAATGTCAAAATTTTTACTGTAAATGGTAATAGAACTTGTTAATTGTGTAATAAATGATAATAATAACGATGGGGTGGTGAGACTTTTAAAGTACTCTATCTTATGGTTCTTCAGTTGTTTTCTAAAGACATGTCAGCAAATCCTTATTCATGCTCATGTCGTCTTGGTACTTCTTTTCACACGATTAGATCTATACAATCCATGCATTGTTCCTTTCATGTTGGGCTATTATCAACACCAGAAGGTGGACATTAATATACTAGTACTATAGTTAGTTAGATAGTAAAAGACTTTGCTCATTATTGCTGTCGTTTTAGTTAGTGGGAAAGTATTTTTTGTTTTTTCATCGACTGGCCCTCTTTTTTTTTGCTGTGCGTGAATCTCTTGAAAAGAGAAGAAATCAAATCATATTCTTATTATTGGTAAAACTGTAATGCCAAGTCTGGTGCCACCAATTCCAACTGTGATGAGTTGTAAGTAACTTTAAGAGAAACTAAGGTCCCTCTCAATTCTGAAGTTACAAGGTCATACTAGATTTGTAAGCACAAATAGTCTTGTCCTATTGTGCTCCATTTCATACTGTGCTTTGCTTTACTAGCTTTCTTCTTGACATTGATAATATTTCCTTACTCATTGTTTGTGCAGTGATGCTTCACTCTATGATTTGTTCTCAGCCTCCCGGAACCGAATTTCATTCCAAGGTAATAAATATCTCACATCCTTAAGATTCCATGTTGAATACTTGCATTCACTAACTTGGAGCACAAAATATGACATTATGCATGATTAAAGATAGAAAAATAAGGAGTAAAGTTTGTCCATTCTGGTTACCTCTTTTGGCTCATAGTTTTGAGTCACCAAATAACTGTTCTTGGAACCTGATCCCTATAAAGTTTTTTATCCTTCTTCATGATTAAAGTTTTTTTTAAGTCTCTTTCTGGCTATATGTCTTACAACTGGAGAATTTTTCTAGTATGGCCTGTTAAGTCTTGAATTCCTTCTCTCATGACTTTGTTATTTTTAATGTGTTCTCTAATTGGGGCGGACAAATCTTTTGTTTTGCTTGCCTTAAGTGAAGGAATCAGCAAGTTCTTTTTTTTTGTTGATATGCTGATGGTATGCTAACTTTGAGCTGTTTAATACAACACTTGACCCTTTAATTATCCTTTGTTTATGTGCGTGTCTAAATCTGGTTCATCAAATAGTTTTCTGTATTTTAAAATGACCTTTCTGCAGTATTCACTGACTAGATATGGTGGCAAAAATTAAAAATCAATACCAATGATTTATGTTGATCTTTTTTAAATTATGAGAATGAGGGCTACTTTAGGGAA